AGCTCGCCCCTTGAATAACCACTCTTTACCCTGGTCACCAGAGTGTCCTAAAACTTTGATTCCCAGCCATTCAGTGATTCCCACCTGTCCAGGCCAGCTCCTCAGCTGGCATTGGAGGCCTCTGTCCTTGGCCCTGCTCCCTTTCCAGCCTTTCCCTCCCTGTATAACCTGAAGCTCCCTAAAGGCCTGTGTACTTCTGCATATGTGCACCCTCTGCCTGTCAAACCCAATTCATGCTTAACATCCACTGCCCCACTGCACTGTGAGCTCCTTGCAGTTAGGGACTGTTTTATTCTATTCTGTGCCTGATGTCAACACAGGACCTATGCACAGAATGTGACCAACTTATCTTTGTTGAATTAGACGTAACTGGGGAGATAGGAGTACAATCTAGCTAAAATCAGTCAAGGAGTATTTATTAAATGCCTATTTATTACCATCTAGCCTGAAAGTAAGACATCATTCAGAGAACAGAAGACCAGTGCATTGAGTGCCCAGTACCTGGCCTTGCACACTGAGACAAAAAAATATTTGAATAGAAGAATGAACCAGTGGATGAGTGGATGGATGCTATGAGAAAAGGTCAGAGAAAGGAGAGTTAGTGTGTACTGGAAGAGTTGGAGGAGGCTTCTTGAAGGAGGCCACTCAGTGGGTCCTTCAAGAACAGGCAGTCTGTTGGGCAGATGGAGAAAAGGGGAGAGTATTCATTGGGAAAGGTGTAAGCCGGGTGAGAGGTACCAGAGTAGGGTGGGTCAGAGCAGGGGCCCTGGAAATGCACTGCACTTAAATCTTAGCTCTGCCATGTGAACTTGCACAAGTTACTTAACCTCTCTGTGCCTCAGTTTCCTCATTTGTAAAATGAGAAGACTGCCTGCTTCTTTATAGGCCTATTGTGAGGATTAAATGAATTACTGTACAGAGAGCATTTAGCACAGTGCCTGGCACATGCAGAGTGCCTTATAAGTGATGGGTGACAGTTATTAAGCAAAGGCAGGGAGGGGAATGACACGGTTATTCAGGGGTGAGGTGGGAGGTCCATTGAGGAACTGGGTCTAGCAGAAGGGGGTGGTACATGAGATGTCTGAGCAGGCAAAGTCTCCAGTAATGAGGAGAGGAGTGTTCAGTGACGAGCAGAAGAGTGGGAGCCATGGGCGAGAATTTGTCCTCTGGGAACTGCCATCACCCCCCCGCAGGTGTGAGGTCCTTCTGAGAGCCTGCTTGTCAGGGGACATCTCTGAACCTCCCCAAGTCTCCAATAGTACTGCCTACTGCTCTGGCCTCCCCAGCTGTGGCCAAGACTTGAGTCTTGGTTCAGCCGGGGCACCTGGACTAAAGCCTGTGCTGGGGGCCTGGCCTTGCCTCCCCAGAGTTAATCATCACAGCCGGCGGGGAGAATGTTCCCCCCGTGCCCATTGAGGAAGCCGTGAAGACAGAGCTGCCCATCATCAGCAACGCCATGCTGATTGGGGACCAGAGGAAGTTCCTGTCCATGCTGCTCACCTTGAAGGTGTGTCTGGGGGTTCTGGCTCTGGAGAAGCAGCCAATGGGTGGTCTGGGGGTCTGACCCAGACAGAAGCTATGTTGAGCCCAGAACACATCTGGATCTCATTACTTCATTCTGGTATAACTAGCCAGTACTGCCTGCACTAAGGGGCAGCCGTAGCATGTGGAAGTTCCTTCTGTCCCCAGAGGTACAATTAATAATATGCTGCTGTGATGATCCTTAATGTGTACTACAACATGTTTACAAAGTGCTGCTGCCCTCATTCTCCTCAGCAGATACTCAGTCTCCCAGGATGGTAGACAGGGCAGGAGTTATGGTCCCTGTTTTAAGTTACGACTTCATTGGCTGACATCTTCTAGATTTCTGACCACTGCTCCTTCCACCACCCCACAGGGCTCAACACAGTCAGGGTAGCATCCTACTCATTCTAGAGCCAACTCTTTGAAACAGAGCTCACAGTGATCCATATCCTAGATGTTAGCAGTAAGACCTCCTCCAAGACCAGGACTTATGTCTCATGGAGTGAGGCTTGGTCCTGATCTGGTCTCCGGCTTTTCAGTGCACTCTGGACCCAGACACCTCTGACCCAACTGATAATCTCACCGAATGGGCTGTGGAGTTCTGCCAGAGAGTAGGCAGCAAAGCTACCACAGTATCTGAGATCGTGCGGAAGAAGGATGAGGCTGTCTATCAGGCCATTGAAGAGGGGATACAGAGGGTCAACATGAATGCAGCTGCCCAACCCTACCACATCCAGAAGTGGGCCATTCTCGAGAAGGACTTTTCCATTTCGGGTGGAGAGTTGGGTAGGTTTTTTTCTTTTCACTATTCCAGGGGGTGTGGGAGGGCAGAGGCCATGACAGAACCAGGGAGGTGGCTATTAGGAAGCAGCCATAACAAGCAGAAGGTCACTGTCAGCACTTTAGATGACACCCACCTCCTTCCCACGGGAAGACATTGAATACTCAGTGCATGGGCTTGTGGTTGTGTAGAGCCTATTAAACGTATAAGATACGTGCCGGAACTTATTAATTTAAAGACACAACATTTAATTTTGCTTTCACTATGGGATCATTTTCCCTTGAAATCACCTAATGGGACCACCAGGCAGACATCATGGCCCTATTAGTGTTTGGGCTGGAGTCACCTGGCTCTAGAGGTGAGACCACCATAATCTTCTGTAAAGTCAGCTCATGTGACAGGTAAAGGGATGAAGCCCTTCTAGACTATGGTCCACAGAACCAGAAAAGGCCTCTGGTATGGCCTCAGCTAGATGGATGAAGTTGCTCCTGGCTGTAGCATCTTAGGGTGTGCACAGCACAGGGGGAGGCGGAAATGGCTTCTTCAGTGAGATTCCCTGCAACCCATCAAGGCTGAACCCAGATGCAACTATCTACAGTAATGCTGAGCTGCAATCAGAGACCTTGAGTTTATCTGGTTGTCTGGTGCTAACAAGTTGAATGCAAGGTCAACCAGATAGAAGATGTCTCCTCCAAGCAGTTTATATAAATGATTGATTTTGAAGTCTCCAGTTACCAGCCAACTGTGAGTTAACACAAAAAGGACTTTAAACTACCCAGGACCTCAACTCAGAGCTCTTTCAACCTTTAGAGGGGGGAACCTTCAGAAGTGGGGAAAACCTCTAGAAAAGATGTAGCAGAGGCCCTCACTAAGCCAGGGCTTTCCCCTGCCCCATCACAAGCCATCAAAGCATAATATCCAACGTTGGATGAACTTCCACTGAAACGCGGGGATGATCTGTATATTAGTTACCTATTGCTCTGTAACAAATTATTCCAAAATTTAATGTCTTAAAAAAATAAACATTTATTACCTTAAAGTTTCTGTGGGTCAGGAATCCAGGACAGCTTGGCTGGGTGGTTCTGGATCAGGTGTCTCACAAGGTGACAGTCTAAACGTTGGCTGGGTGGCAGTCCCCTGGAGCTCAGAGGGCCCACTGCCTTGCTCACTCAGATGGTTGTTGGCAGGCCTCAGTTCCCTGTTGGCTGTTGGCCAGAGACCTTAGTTCTTTACCAGTGGATCTCTCCATAGGCTGCCTTTGTGTCCTCGCAACATAGTAGCTGGCTTGCCCCAGAAAGAATAATTCGAGAGACCAAGACAGAAATTATAGTCTTTTGCTTGCCTGAATCATTTATTCATTCAAGGGACAGAACAGAAGATGCACTGAGGATCAGAAATGGGTGCAGGTCAAGCGTAAGGTGGATGTGGCTTTTACACCACTTTACTATATATCTGAGAGAAAGTGCAATCTTTCATAACCACTCTCATAAGTGACATACCATCACGTCCTCTGTATTCTGCTGACCACTTAGACCAGCCCTGGTACAAGGTGGGAGGAGACTATAGCAAGAGGTGACTGCCAGGAGCAGGCATCACTGAGGGCCATCTTGGAGGCTGGCTAATCATCTGTCTCCAGAGTTAGAGGATTCTCTGGGCCTGGATCTTTACCACTCACCTTCTCAGAGCCTAGGCCTCACTCATTTCTTCCAATTTCTCTTGTAGGTCCCACAATGAAACTGAAACGGCTCATAGTTCTGGAGAAGTACAAAGATATCATTGATTCCTTTTACCAAGAGCAAAAGTAACAGGGGCCGTGCTTCCGCAGTTTCTACTGAAGATGGCAGGCCTTCCCAAGTGTTTTCCTGAGCTCCAGGTCCTCTTCAGTCTGGGTACACGGACTTCTGGCAAGTCTGTTAGGTCTCCAGGTCAGGATACAGCAGTGATATCTACATTTTCCAGGTCTTCTGCCAACAATAGCTCACAATTCTGAGAAGCTTCAAGTGTGGGTAGTTTAATTCTGTTTCAGTATTGCTTTTTGTTGAAGTGACAAGTGAGATCAGCTTTCCTTCCAGAACTAAGGGCTGACAGTTTTTGGCCTTAGCTTCAGGTAGATTTACCAGACTGCCAGCTCACGTAACAGGCTAGCCAGTGGCAGGCTGTGTTGGAGGAGGGAGGATGGGGGAGATGGCTCATCTTACTAGTGTGTGCTACGGGGAAAGCCAATAATTATAACTTACCTAACGGCCTTTGCATCTCAGTGGACACTGCCAACCCTACTGTCCCATTACCAGGGACTTCCTCTCTACACACATGCCAACTGACCTGATGCTTAATAAAACTTCTGCTGCCTACTTGATTGTATTTAATGTGTAATTTGAATATTAAACTTTTTAACAGAACTGCCAACAAGTACCTGATTTTTTGTCAATTGAGCAGGTGGGATCAGTCCAGAGAGTAGTGGGTATTTAACCCACAAGACTGTGTGCAATAGGCATATGAGTGACCACTAGTGCCCTGGAAAAAGCAAAGGTGCAGGAGGGGGTCAAGCAGAGCATTCTAGTAAAAGCAGCCAACTCGTGCTAGTCTGTCCCCACCACGCCACCCCTTCCACTCTGAATACCTTAAGCAGCCACTTAGCAGCAAACTGAGCCAAAATGACTAAAGCATCTAAACAAGAAACAGTAGAGAAAGCATATATCTCAACCAGTTTTGGAATTCTTTTATTTGTGTGAACCCAAGAATCACTGATAATTAGCACAATCCAATAAAACACAGGAAGCAGCAGCTTAAAGAAATTAAAATACATCTAAGATTCTAAGTCCGGTTACAAGCCTAAAAAAGAACCCAGGCAGAGATATCTGTTGTTGTTAAGAAATCCCCTTGTGACCTGGGTACATTTTGCAAAGCCACAGGTTACAGTGTTACACAAGGGGCAAGGGAGGGCATGAGCTACCTTTGATGTGAGGCCAATGGGTAACTGTTCATGAAAACAGTAACTTACTGCCCAAAGATTAAGAAAAATCATGCTGGGGCAGGGAGTGGAAGGGGCAGGGGAGATGCCTGAAGGTCAGAAACTGAGCCCAAGCCCCAGTATGGCACAATTTTATGTATCCACTCAGGCTGAGTCTGCTCCAGTCTCTGCAATCTCATCTTGTACTGGTGGTGTTGAGGTGGAGGGTAGTGATTTGGTGCTTTGGGGAAGGGAAAAGCCAGCCGTTAAAATATAAAATTAATAGCCAGCATCCCCAGTTCCTCAACTGCAGCCAAAATATACGTGGTCAGGCCTTTTAGCAGTATCAGCTGGAGTGTGGTCAATTTCCAGACAGTGACATGCGTGCTGCAGAAGAGTAACTGCACACAATGGTAGCTCCCATGTCTGACTCAAGAGTGGCAGTCCAGGGGCTCAAAGGCTGTGATGCTTAGTGTGTCCAATGAAAAGGAAGTACCACCCCTTCACTTCATTAAAAGCTCTCAGAAAGTATAGTAAATCTCAGGATAACAAAATAATTGCATACATAATGCATTTCTGTCTTTGTACCAAATATATTACCTACATCTTATTAACAAAAATTACATCTCTCATTATATATTTCTTAGATCAGAAGACTTTATTCATATTCAGTAATTCATGTAAAGGAAAAAAATCTGTCCTAATTCTACATCACTAAGAAATATACTGTATTCCCTTTTTTTGATGTGAACTTTCCTAGGAAATTTCTCTTGTGCCCATTTAGTTTTATAAGAATGTTGTCTTGTGCTGTTATGTCAATATTCTGTTTTATTTCTATTATATTTTTCATAAACAAGGAAAACAGTTTTTCTTTAAAAAGTTAGATGTTTTCTCTTATTAATTCTGTCTCATGATATTTACAGCTGAGGAAAAACTGTTTTAACTTTAGTGTAAAATGGTTAACAACGGCAAATGATAAACTGTAAACACAGACATTTAATAAATAAAACAAGCACTTGAAAAAGTCCTTTGAAAGCAGACCTAGGGACATTACCTGCATCCTTTGTACATATTTTAAGAAAAGGCCAGATCTAAAAATGTACTGTCAAGAAACAAGCAAAGCAAATGCATACATAATGGGAGGTATTCTAATATAACTTTATGTGGTGTCCATTAGGAGCGACTGATGCAAACACCATTTGAAGCCTTAATCTAAATCTTTTACTCTGCGACAGATTTCTTCGGTGAAGTCTGAGCATTTTGCATTGCCTCCCAAATCTTTTGTTAAGCTCTGAGAAAAGGAAAAACCAAAAAAAAAAAGACATTTATTTAAAGCCCTCTGTGAGATAGCAGCTGAGCAAGTTACCTGGCTGCTCTTTCATTTAGTTCCTCATTTCCAAGTGAGGCCCCAGCCCCCCACCAGCCACCTACCCCAAGAGGATTGGGAAAATCCAATTAGATAGTGACACAAAAACCCTCTGAAAAGAAAGAAATGCTCTCGCTACAAAGGGAAGCAGGGAGGCTTTCCCAAATTGTCCCTTCATCTATACAATAGACCCTAAGAACATCTGATTATGGACATCTAAATGAAAGAAAATACAAACAAGAGATTTCATAAATCCCTTGAATTTTTAAAGTTTAAAAAACCTAAGACATATTTTCACCTATTTTTGGAAGATGGGGAACAAATACTAAGGTACACTAATGCTTAAACTTTCCTCTTCAGGAAAGAAATTCTTCCATACGGCCACTCTGTTTTCTATCAGCTTATCTTCTCTTTACTCCTCAACAGATCTCAATATATTTAATTCTCTTGTCTCACTGCATCCTACACAATTAAAAGGGCCCACTGTGTAATTTAGGCATTTCTCTGCTGCACTCTATAGTGTGGCTTCTCAAAGAAAGCATCAGAATAAAAAACAAAGTCACATGCCCTTCAATATGACTATCAGGTTGTTACAAATAAGCTTGGATTTCTTATATTTTGGCCATAAGAAGTAATTTCAAATTATAGAATTTTTTAAAAAGAAGGAGCCAACCTTGAAGACATTATGCTAAATGAAATAAGCCAGTCACAAGAAGACGAACATTATATGATTCCACTTATATGAGGCACCTAGAGCAGTCAAATTCATAGATACAGAAAGTTGAAGGGGGGTTTCCAGGCACTGGTGGGGAGGGCAGGAAATAGGGAGTTACAGTCTAATGGAAAGAGAGCTTCAGTTTAAGAAAATGAAAAAGTCTGAAGATGGATGGTGGTGAAGGTTGCACAACAGTGTGAAAGTACTTAATACCACTGGACTGTACACTTCAAAATTATTAAAATGGTCAATTTTATATGATGTACATTTTACCATAAATAAAGAAAAGAGAGAGACCTCAGATTAGGGATCAGCCATTAAGGTTCAGCCTTGTGAAGCCATGACCTCCTCCGTGCTCCTCTTACTTTCAAAATAATCCATCACACCCCTTCTGTGGGCCACAACTGCTTATGGAAACACTGAAGCTTGTTGGGTAAAAGCCAGATTGGGTGTGAACCCCAACTTTGCCATTTAAAAGCTGTCAGACTTTGGACAAATTACTTAATCTCTGTGTGCCTCACTTTCCTCATCTATAAAATGGGATTAATTATAGTATCTACTTCACAGAGAGGAAGAGAAGATTTGCTGAGATGATATATATAAAGAACATAAAATCATCTAAGTATTCAATTAATGTTAGCCATTATCATTACTTTTACACAACTTCTGTATTACTTTTGTACTATAGAGCACAGACTATAACATATAACACCACTGTATTAGAGACACATCTGCATCTCTATCTACCACTAGCTTCTGAACTGAGCTCCTTGAGGCCTGAGACCTTACCTTATTCCTCATTTTATTATATTCTTCATACCTTATAACGTACACAATAGATGTTTGTTAGGAGGAGGAAAAAGTTCCCTAGAAAGTTAATGGACTTGGCCAAGATCACACAGCTAACAACAGGGTAACTAAGCTGGAACCAGCTCTGACTCCCAAACCACTGCTCTTCCCAGTGCACACTGATGTCTATCAGTGCTTCTCAACCCTCTTCTGATGAAACATGTGGCTCCTCCCTTCAGAAAATGCACACGTGTGCACGCATACCCTGAGTTCACTCAGGGAGCCCACATTAAGAAGACTTGTTCAACGTCAGATCCCTTGGCCCTCTTGAGACCCATCACCTGTTCCCTTCACTCAGATAAGACACACGGAAGAAATGTATTCCACCCAGAACAAGTGTGGCAAGATGACTGATACCTTTCCGTCCTTAATTGTAGCAAAACATGCAGCCTCAATTCTTGCTGCGTGGTCAAAAAGTCCCATGTGGCGCAGCATCATCACAGCACTGAGCAGGAGGGCGGTGGGATTGGCCATGTCCTTGCCTGCAATGTCCGGGGCGGTCCCATGAACCTACCCATGGAGAAAAACAGCACAATCAGGAGAGAGACAAGAACAAACAGCCCTCTTCCAGGGAAGCTGGCATCTTAATCATCTTTCCTCACCAATGGAAACAGTTACTGAATAGCTACTGTTCCAATTTATCAGACAGAGATCTTAGAAATAAAGCCTCAGAAAAATAAAGAGCTAAAGTAACCTTTTTTTAAAGTGCAAAAATATAGACTAACAATCTTTTCCAATCAACCTTTCGTAAAATATTTTTTTATTTTAGTTTGTTTGTTTTTTGCTTTTCTTTGAGGAAGATTAGCCCTGAGCTAACTACTGCCAATCCTCCTCTTTTTGCTGAGGAACACTGGCCCTGAGCTAACATCCGTGCCCATCTTCCTCTGCTTTATACATGGGACGCCTGCCACAGCATGGCTTGCCAAGCGGTGCCATGTCTGCACCCGGGATCAAACTGGCAAACCCTGGGCTGCTGAAGCAGAACGTGCGAACTTAACTGCTGCGCCACCAGGCCAGCCCCTGTAAAATATTTTAACTGAGGAAGGATACATAATAAATAATAAGGATACACAAATAAATTAGAGAGGAATGAACGAATAAACCAAGCTTATATCAAAAATCTAAACAAAGCATCATTTTCTTTCGACAATTGGAAAAACTCAAGAGTTAAAACATTTATGCAGATAACGCCTCCTAGGGTCTCATGCCATTCTGACTCGAATTCTGCTTCAGGCGTCACCAGGGTCCTTACCGACTCAAAGATGGCAACCCCGTTGGCTCCAATATTGCCACTTGGTGTCACACCAAGACCTCCAATCAATCCCGCACACAGGTCACTAAGGGCAGAAAAGCACTTCAAAGGATGTTTTGAAAAATCAAGCATCTCACCTAGCATTCAGACTTCAGGTTTTAAATACCATTCTCCAATAAAAGGAAGCAGGGCTCTGTGGAGAAATGGCTGATTCCAGGACTACAGTTAGGAAAAGAGAGGATGAGGCTGAAGCATCTTACTGTGTCAGAAACCTAATGATCGGCCGCGCCAAGAGGACACAGGAGACGGCTCAAAGGGACTCCCACTGGCCAAGTCGGGACAGCACCAATACAAACGAGGAGAGTGATAGATATAGCCATTGAATAAAATAGAAACCATGGGCCAAACTGATATAGATAATTAGGCAGACAAATAAGAGAGAAGAAAAAGCTTATCCTTACAGTAGAATGTCAACTAATAAACATAGAAGGAATAATGGACTTAGAAAATCACCATATGGCCAGCATCGTGTGTGTGTAGAGAGAGAGGAAGAAAAAAAAGGAGGAGGAGGAGGGGGAAGGGAGGGAATGGGAGAGAAAGAGAGAGAGTAACAAAGTGTGGTAAAATGTCACATTTGGGGAATGTGAGTGATGAGTACACAGGAATTCTTTGTATCATTCTTGCAGCTTTTCTCTGTCTGAAATTATGTCAAAAGCTACAAAAAAATTTGTAAAAATGACTACCCACCTACCTAGCTATACAAAACACTGAAATCAACTAACTCATAAAACATCTGAAAACCGGGAAAAGGGAACTAACGATTAGGGAACAAAAGCCCAGAGGTGATTTGGCAAATAAATGAAAGAATAACCCACCCAACTTGTAATCACCTGTATCACCACTTGAATTATTAGAATTCAACTAATATCTTATAACAAATGCGGTATTTTATAATATTTGATTGAAATTTTTAAGCCATAATTTGTCCTAGGCTGTTTATAAATAAATATATGCTAAAAGGGTGCAGCTAGACTCACCTTAGGATGTCTCCGTACAAATTTGGCATAACAAGAACATCAAACTGGGACGGATCTTGGACCATCTACAAGGAATGGATTTGTGCATTTAGCAATCAAAAACAGCACACCATACATATACACTATACACCACAAAAAATAGCAGGTAAGTATGAATATATACTTACATTCAAACATACTGTATCCAGGTACATCTCATTAAATTTAATATCTTTACAGTTTTCTGCAACTTCCCTGCATTTTTGCAGAAAAAGTCCATCTGACATTCGCCTGTATTTAATCAAATAAAAATTGCTGAAAGCAAAGACTTGCAGAAAGAAAAGGATCAAATCAGAGAAGTAAGTTAAAGATATTTAAGTTCCAGAAGACAAGATGTCTGATTTCAATTACAGTAAAATTCTTTTTTTAGGCAGTTAATAAAATGCAAATTGATAATATTTTGGGAGGCCAGCCCCATGGCCGAGTGGTTAAGTTCGTGTGCTCCGCTTCGGCAGCCCAGGGTTTCGCCAGTTCGGATCCCAGGCGCAGACATGGCACCACTCACCAGGCCATGCTGAGACGGCATCCCACATGCCACAACTAGAAGGATCCACAACTGAAAATATACAACTATGTACTGGGGGGCTTTGGGGAGAAAAAGGAAAAATAAAATCTTTAAAAGAAAAAAAATATTTTGGGATACTTCTGAAAGCACAAAAATGTAAAACAGTGTGAGCATAATAAAGAAGACTATACTTTTACAGTGCTGTCCAGCAAAAATTAAGAAATATCTATTAATAAGAAAATGTTAAAATTACTTTAAAAGGTTAACTTATTCAATTATTTAAATGGCTTTACTATTTTATATGCTCAACACTTTCCTTAGGTTAGGAAACATGTTTCCTTATACATTCAGAGTTGGCCTTTAATAGACTGGGGACGAGGAGAATTGAAACGGCTAGAATAATACATCAGATGGCGTTAGCACTATTAGCACTGACTTGTAAGCCCCTGAGCATGTGGCCATTTTAGAAACACTCCCACTATTCCACTTCTACAACTTAAATGACCCTGCCCTTTTATCTATGTGGACTTAGTTAACTGGACACAGTATCTGGGGATCCAGTCTCCAGCTTCCTTCTCTGACAATTCTCAGTCCCTCCTTAACCTTCCAGGACCTGAATTCCTGTCCCTTCCAAATTTGCTCCATTCACCCAGTGAGGCACACTTAATAGGAGTTTATGACACAAGAGAAATGCCTGACCCTCTGATTGGTTACAAGGTTATTTTTCAGAAATATCAGGAATCAATGAGCAAGCTGGAGCGAACAAAGGAAAGCCCTGTCATTCCTCTCCCACAAAGCAAGACAGGGTGCTGGCCCCTGCAGGGACTCACATGATGTTGGCTTTGTGCACGGCTGTGACATTGCTCCGGTGATTGTTCCGGGCGTACTCAAATGCAAACTCAGCAATGCGCTTGCTCGCCTCCTCAGTGATAAGCTTGATGCTCTGCACAACTCCATCCACGATCTGAAAGAGAGGAAGTCTTGCCTCACTGGAAAGAGTGTGGCAACAACTCAGTGCTACACAGCTGGTGGTGTGTAGCCAACAGCATTTGTGACATGCTCCCACAGTGCCAGCTACCCTGGCACCATGCGTACAGTATGTCAGTGTGGTTAATGTTAACCCCAGCCCCACGGGGTAGAGATTATAAGCCCTGCTGTACAGACGAGGAAAACTGAGTTGCAGAGATGGTCACCTGCCTGAGAGCACATCTGTGAAGTTAAGGATTCAAAATACAAACAGAGGGATATTCCTAACCACTATGTCCTGCTCCTCCTAGCATCCATCTGAGCACTGCTGGCCAGCAACCCAGGACCAAGACAAACACCAACACCTCACAGAGGTGAAAGTGAACTGTCTCTGGGAGATATTTTCAGCTAGGCATTTGACCAACTGTGCCAAAGGCACAGAAAGCAACCCAACTAACAACAAAAAAGTATCTGAAATAAACATACCACATGCTCAATCCCACTGTATTCTCCTTCTGTGTTCTCTCGAATGGTGACAATATTTACGTCAGTATAAGGGGTTTTATAGCCTTCGATTGAGACACATGGCCGCACATTTGCATAAAGGTCAAATGTTTTACGCAGCAATAAATTCATAGATGGGTGACCAGCAGCTATTGGGGTCTTTAATGGGCCTGTAATAAAGAAGAATACCCAGATGACAATAGGATACATTCTAATCTTTTTTCTTCTTCTTTATAAACACAAGTACATAATGTTTATTTGAAATTTCAATTTTTTTTTCACTTTTCCATTAGAGCTGTACTTAGGATCCTTTCTTTGGACGTGATGTAGTTGTGCCACATGTTGAACACACGTGTTTATGAACCAAGCAAGAGTCCTTTGAAAGGACAGGCAGACACTCTGTTTCGAAGTGTGATGTTCTCTTCATCGTGAATGAGTCCACCCATGGCTGGTCACTCTCAGGCAATCATTCGGTGCTCACTCTCTATATCACCTACTAACCCCCTGGGCTATCTGGCAAAATGTGTTCTGCCTCTAACTTGACCCTCTCCCTCAGATTCAAATGGAGGAAGAAAACTTCTTCATGGAGGCTTTCTGGAACACTACTGCATTCCTTAATAATACTGAGCACCTTCTGACTGAGGACCAAGCACTGTACCAGGTGCTTGACATGATCTAATCCTCGCCACCAATCCATGATGTATCAACTCTGTCATTTAAAAGGAAAGGAAAGGGACCGGCCCGGTGGCGCAACAGTTAAGTTCACACATTCTGCTTTGGCAGCCCAGGGTTGGCCAGTTCGGATCCCGGGGGCGGACATGGCACCGCTTGGCAAGCCATGCTGTGGTAGGCATCCCACATATAAAATAGAGGAAGATGGGCATGGATGTTAGCTCAGGGCCAGTCTTCCTCAGCAAAAAGAGGAGGATTTGCAGGAGATGTTAGCTCAGGGCTAATCTTCCTCAAAAAAAAAAAAAGTGAAGGAAAGCATCAGCCCCGGTGGTCTAGTGGTTAAGTTCGGCATGCTCTTCCTCAGCAGCCCAGGTTTGGCTCCTGGGTGCGGATTTACACAATTTATCTCCCAGTGGCTATGCTATGGCAGTGGCTAACATACAAAAAAAAAAAAAAGAGGGAGATTGGCAGCCAATGTTAGCTCAGCACAAACCTTCCTCAGCTAAAAAAAAAGAAGGAAAAAAATAAAACAAAATGAAGAGTAAGAAATTAGCCCAAGCCTCCCCCAGTCAATGAGCGTCAGAGATGAGATTCAAACTTGGATCTGTCTGGATTTAAAGCCTATGCTGAATTTGAATCAGTCACATGTTAGTATTTTGAATCATGACCATAAGCATGAACTAATTAAAATAATAATAAAAATGTAAAAAATTATGCAAAAGACCAATCTATGTGAAGATACATATATACTTTCATTTGACCTTTGCCAATAGTACTTTAATGTTTTTACTGGGGAAAAATATGTCCCAAAATTAAAAATAAAGCATCTTACTATGAATAAGTTGCTTCATAAAAGGACAGTTTTACTTTAATAGTCAGGCCTTAGTTAGTTTAAATGCATAAACTTTAAAAAATAGCACCTGTAGCAGAAATCAATAATAACCATCATATCCATTTCTGTGCTACCTTTCAAGCCCATCTTGTTCTTATCCATGGACTCTTTGGCTTCTGGAGGGATCATCCACTTTCCTCCCGGTCCTTGAATGGCAGTGACATTCCGCTCCTCCCACTGAATAGGCGCCTAGATGTCACACCACAGAGCACAGTGAACTGGAAAGCCTTAAACATGCCTGCCATTCACACTACAATTACAAACAAACTTCTTCAACTTTGGATGCAATTGGTGAAAACACACACAATAAAGGTCTAGGAAGTTCCTGGCATGCAAGATGAGATGTCATTCTCCAGCATGCCCAGAGGAATTCTCCACGTTACCCTTGCCCAGCCATCACTCCTAGCTGCCACCTACCCACTTTTTTTCACAACTTTTAATGTGGCTATAATTACAATACCACAAGGAGTGGAGAAATATGGTTTGCAGAAACATTACATAGTACTGATACATGGATGAACCTTGAAAACATTATGCTAAGTGAAAGAAATAAATCATATAAGACCATATGTTCTAAGATTCTATTTATATGAAATGTCCAGAATAGGCAAATCTGCAGGTGGAAAGTAAATCCAGTGGTTACCTACGACTTGTGATGAGAGGGGCTAGGTGAGAGAGAGGGAAGGAATGGGGAGTGACTGCTAAAGAGTATGGGGTTTCTTTCTGGGTGATAAAAGTGTTGTAAAATTAGATTGTGGTGACGGCTGCACAACTCTATGACTGTACTAAAAACCACTGAATTGAATTACATACTTCAAATGTGTGAATTGTATGGTATGTGAATTACATCTCAATAAAGCAGTTAAAGAAAAACACAAAAAACAAGATACACTACATAACCTCCGAAGGCACCAGTTTTAAGGTATAAACCAGTGTCTTCCCTTCTTTCCACCCACATCCTTCAATGTGTACACGCACATCTAACAGCGAGCACACTGACTGAGCGTGTACTAGGAATAGGAACAGAGTAAGACATGAGCCTGTTCACAAGGAGCTTACAATTGAGTGAGCGATCATATTTCAGTTCACTCGGGGAATTTGCTACTGCCTGAGTATCATTTCCTCTGTAGGAGTTTTAATTAGAAGCTCATATAGAAAACCAATGTACGTATAATTTAAATAAATTGCATTTCTTGATTTACAGCTGTTGATATAACCATCACTGTTTTAATCTTACACATTTTTTCACCTAGCAGCTATAAATAGCAATAATAAAGCATCATGTCAAACAAAATCCAAGTTTCCTAAATTCCCCAAAGAATTTTAAAATATCTACCTGCACTGGACCAGATGGCTTTCCTGGGGAATGCTACCAAACTTTCAGAGAGGATTTAATACCTATCCTTTTCAAGCTAGTCCAAAAAATTAGGGCAGATGAAACACTTCCTAACACATTCTATGAGGCCAACATCACACTGATACCAAAGCCTGACAAGGACAACACGAAAAAGGAGAACTACAGGCCAATATCGCTGATGAACATACATGCAAAAATTCTCAACAAAATTATGGCAACCTGAATTCAGCAATTCATCAAAAGGATCATACATCATGATTAAGTGAGAGTCATACCAGGGACATAGGGATGGTTCAACATCCGCAAATCAATCAACGTGATACACCACATCAACAAACTGAGGAATAAAAACCACATGATCATCTCAATAGATGCAGAGAAAGCATTTGACAAGATCCAACAGCCATTTGTGATAAAAACTCTGAACAAAATGGGGATAGAAGGGAACTACCTCAAATAACAAAGGCCATATATGACAAACCCACAGCCAACATCATACTCAATTGGCAAAAACTGAGCACCATCCCCCTGAAAACAAGAACAAGACAAGGATGCCCTCTCTCACCACTCTTATTCAACATAGTACTGGAGGTTTTGGCCAGAGCAATTACGCAAGAGAAAAGAATAAAAGGAATCCAAATAGAGAGGGAAGAAGTGAAACTCTCGCTGTTTGCAGACGATATGATCTTATATATAGAAAACCCCAAAGAATCCACTGGAAAACTCTTAGAAGTAATCAACAACTACAGCAAAGTTGCAGGGTATAAAATCAATTTACATAAATCAGTAGCATTTCTATACTCTAATAACGAACTACCAGAAAAAGAACTCAAGAACACAATACCATTCACAATCGCAACAAAAAGAATAAAATACCTCGGGGTGAATTTAACTAAGGAAGTGAAAGACCTATACAAGGAGAATTACAAGGTTTTTCTGAAAGAAATGGATGACAACATAAAGAGATGGAAAGACATTCCACGCACATGGATTGGAAGAATAAACATAGTTAAAATGTCCATTCTACCTAAAGCAATCTACAGATTCAACACCATCCCAATCAGAATCCCAATAACATTCTTTACAGAAATAGAACAAAGAATCCTAAAATTCATATGGGGCAACCAAAGTCCCCGAATTGCCAAAGCAATCCTGAGAAAAAAGGACAAAGCTGGAGGCATCACAATCCCTGACTTCAAAACATACTGCAAAGCTACAGTAATCAAAACAGCATGGTACTGGTACAAAAACAGGTGCACAGAACAATGGAACAGAATTGAAAGCCCAGAAATAAAACCACACATCTATGGACAGCTAATCTTTGACAAAGGAGCTGAGGGCCTACAATGGAGAAAAGAAAGTCTCTTCAACAAATGGTGCTGGGAAAACTGGAAAGCCACATGTAAAAGAACGAAAATTGACCATTCTTTTTCACCATTCACCAAAATAAACTCAAAATGGATCACAGACCTAAAGGTGAGACCTGAAACCATAAGGCTTCTAGAAGAAAATGTAGGCAGTACACTCTTTGACATCAGTATTAAAAGGATCTTTTCAGACACCATGTCTTCTCAGACAAGGGAAACAACAGAAAGAATAAACAAATGGGACTTCATCAGACTAAAGAGCTTCTTCAAGGCAAAGGAAAACAGGATTGAAACAAAAAAACAACCCACTAACTGGGAAAAAATATTTGCAAGTCATACATCCAACAAAGGCTTAATATCCATAATATATAAAAAACTCACACAACTCAACAATAAAAAAATCATACAACCCAATCAAAAAACGGGCAGGAGACATGAACAGACATTTCTCCAAAGAAGATATACAGATGGCCAAGAGGCACATGAAAAGACATTCATCATCGCTGATCATCAGGGAAATGCAAATCAAAACTACACTAAGATATCACCTTATACCCATTAGAATGACAAAAATAACTAAAACAAACAGTAACACATGTTGGAGAGGTTGTGGAGAGAAAGGAACCCTGATAAACTGCTGGTGGGAATGCAAACTGGTGCAGTCACTATGGAAAACAGTATGGAGATTCCTCAAAAAATTAAAAATAGAACTAACATACGATCCAGCCATCCCACTACTGGGTATCTATCCAAAGAGCTTGAAGTCAGCAATTCCAAAAGTCCCATGCACCCCAATGTTCATTGCAGCATTGTTTACAATAGCCAAGACATGGAAGCAACCTAAGTGCCCATCAACAGATGATGGATAAAGAAGATGTGGTATATATACACAATGGAATACTACTCAGCCATAAAAAAGAACAAAATCGTCCCATTTGCAACAACACGATGGACCTTGAGGGAATTATGTTAAGTGAAATAAGCCAGATAGAGAAGGACAATCTCTGTATGACTTCACTCACATGAAATATTTAAAAATGCAGACAAAGAGAAGAGATTAGTGGCTACCAGGGGAAAGGTGGGGTGGGGGGTGGGCACAAGGGGGGAAGGGGTGCACTTACAACACGACTGACAAACAATAATGTACAACTGAAACTTCACAAGATTGTAACCTATTATTAACTGAAGAAAAATTAAATTAAAAAGAATATCTACCTGCATTGAAGCTATTAAAATATCTACCTGTTAGAATAATAATACTTCAGGCTTGATGATAATACCACATCAGAAATTTTTTTTTTAAAAAGTCTTTCAAAATCTCTTATATCATTTTTTGAAATATCAATTCAATTCTCCTTTTTGGCAGGAATGCAGACTGAGGTAGACCGGTGACTTGGCAGGGCTTAAAGACCTTAAACCCAGGCAGGATTCAAAGATCCACAAATATGCCAGCACTACTTTGATTACTTCATATACAACCGAAGCTAATGCAGGAGCTTAAACTATCGACAAAGACAGCTGCAAACAACACTGTTAAAGTTAAAATCTGTGAAGATGAACAACAGACCTTACGAACTGCAGACAAACGGGAACAATTCATTCCGTTTCACAGGGTTCACAGACTCCAACTGGCCAAGAAAACTTTTCTACAAATTATTATTAAAGGTAATTTTTAAGCCCACTTACTTTGGCAGCATCAAATATCTTCATAACTGCAGCTGAAATTTCTGGGCCAATACCATCTCCTGGAATTAAAGTTACTGTCTGAACCTGAATACAAGAAATCATCAAAGAAGATAGTAAGGATTGATTTTTGAAGGTTTAAAAAAGAGTATCATTGACAAAGAAATCCAGTTTATGGCAGGGGGGGGAGGTCTCAAAAAAAACCAAATGCCTTTAAGAAAACAGACCTACCAACTGCCCAAGGGCTCGTCAAAATGGAGGGAAGAGTCAAGAGACTCCACAATTCTACTCTTTACCTGAGTTGAGGGGTTTTAAAAAGAATTTAAGTGATGCCCTATAGATAAAACAAAAATAAATTAAACTACCAAGTAGACATCCCAATTGATCTTTCTTTTCGGACAAGCTAGAAAGAGACCAATTAATTCAAGTCTGTAAAACCAAAGAGAACAAAGAATTTCAACAATGTTCTCTCACTAAAATTTACAGGGTTTCTCATGAGAGTAAGCGCTTTCTTCTCCAGTGGAATCCTGGAAAGCTTAGTTTCTCACACCACTTGTTCAGTCTTACAAAACACTTTCAGACACATTTCCAGAATACCACTGAGGTCTGTTTTGGTACTCAGAGAAAATCAGACTTCACATCAAGAGAGGGTCTCTATTTTTCCGAGTTCCTCTATAAAACTGGTTCCTTAAGGACAAATGCAATCTAAATAAGCTCAGCAAAGTTTATCTGCAACCAATAAGAATAGCATATGTGGGGGCCGGCCCCATGGCGGAGTGGTTAAGTCGCAAGCGCTCTGCTTTGGGGGCCGGCCCCATGGCGGAGTGGTTAAGTTGCAAGCGCTCTGCTTTGGGGGCCCAGGGTTTCACCGGTTCGGATCCTGGGCGTGGACATGGCACCACTCATCAGGCCATGTTGAGGCGGTATCCCACATGCCACAACTAGAAGGACCCACAACTAAAAAAATATATACAACTATATACTGGGAGGATTTGGGGAGAAGAAGAAGAAGAAGAAGAAGAAAAAAAAGATGACTGGCAGCAGTCGTTAGCTCAGGTGCCAATCTTTTAAAAAAAAAAAAGCTAGGTTCACTATTCTTGAGCTTTAAGTGCAAGCCTCATTCTGCCTCTTTTGCATAAGCAGAGACAAAAGAACTCTTTGGCTTGTTCTTTTGATTCTCCCAACATGTAATAATAAATGTCATCAGGCCACCAGAAAAATCTACTTTTCTTCCACAGTACCAAAGGCAAATGGGAAAAAACGTGCCATGGTCTTATACATCCCTCAGAATAAGATGTTTATGGGCGTATAGGCATTATGAAATCCAAATCAGATTTCCTAAGAAGGGGGTAAAATAAAAACGTATAGGAAGTCACTGACCCACAGTCTTAGAACACTCTAAAAATGTGGCATCAGCTTTTAAAGCACAGAACTCTAATGTTGAGAATTCTAAAACCAGCAGATTTAACGAGAAATAGATGATCCACCAACATGCTAGTCTATAAAGACTTCCTAAGGAAAGTATATGCCTACAGGGCTTATCTTACAGATGTCTGAGGCATTCCTAACTGGCGACCAATCAACTGTTTTTAGGGAAGCTCACAAAATAAAAATGCAAAGCGGGTTTTGAAGCTTCTCAACAATTTTCTCTCAACTTGTACTAGTTTTGAAAAAAACCATCTTACCAAAATGAGATTGTGAAATAAAGTAACAGGCTCAAGGGTAATTTCTATCTATTTTTAACAAGGCTCTTTGAAGACATTAATGTGACAGGCTTACACAGCCAGCTGTAATGTAATTCTTTCAAATGTGCAAGTGACCTAATAAATTTATGCATGTTAGCCAATAATTTAAATACATAGTGTAAGTATGGCCAATATTCCCTAATTTTAAATAAATGGAGATAAAATGCTATATAATAAATGTGTTAGAGCATCTTTCTTGAGAAACTTCTAAAAGGAAAATATAAAAATGTAATTATACTCACACCACCAGCAAAACCTCTGGTCACCTGTTTTTGGTTGTGGAATGCCCCCAGCAGCCGAGAGACCTACATTAATATCAACAAAAAAATATGATGCACAGAATTAAACCACATATAGTAAAAGGTAGAGATGAAGCCATTTCTGATGGCTGATAATGCTGCAAATTTGCACAGACATATTTGGGAACTTTCAAGGAATATTTTTCTCATATATTAGCTCAAAGTGGCAAGCTATCTCAGATTTGAAAACCTAAACATTCAGTTTACCCTTGCTTTGAGAATTTAAGTACTATATACTTTAAATCAATTTTATGAATATAAGTTGTCAAAAGACGTTGAAGGTAGAATGAAACTATACTTTTTTTAGCTCAAACAATGGATTTTTCTCAGATGAATATTGGATTTTTTCTCCCATGAATATTAAGAAATCACACTTCATAATAAAATCTAAAAAAAGTTTACTTAATGCTATTTTGACATCTGTGTCATATACAATAAAGATTTTAACTAAATAATTTATTTCTTCTGATAATACAGGTAATGTGGTCATTATTATTAATTGCTGGGATGGGGAAAGATACAAAAAGGGAAAAAAAAATCACCTAGTAACCGCACTACCCCAAGATGTTACCACTGGTACATTTTTTTTCCACTTAACACTATTACATGCCAGAAATATAAATTTTAAAATGTTATTTCAAACTTGAAAAACTTGGCCCTTGAAAACTGGTACAAAGTCATATTACATTATAAGAAACAGAATGTAATCAAAGAAACTGGGTACATAGACCAAAGGTATTAAAATGTATTAAAAGTTTTAAAGGTAACTTTTTTATGCTAGATACATGAGCAAAGATGCATTTGTTACATCCTGCCTTAGTCTTCCTTTTTGGGGACAGTTCTTACAAGACCTGAACCTTTGCTGTAATATTGGCATCTACTAACAAGACACCAACGAACAGTCAAGAAGATACGAATGAGCTGCATTCTCTAACCTGGTGTCTACAGTCATCTCTCCAGACTGAAAATAAAAGATAGGGCAAGACCCGAAAGAATACTCTGCCAAAACCACAGGCAAAAATTTTAATCCTAGACTGAAACAAAAAGACAACCCACCAACTGGGAAAAAATATTTGCAAATCATATATCTGACAAAAGGTTAATCTCCATAATATATAAAGAACTCACACAACTCAACAATAAAAAATCAAACAACCCGATCAAAAAATGGGCAGGGAGTATGAAGAGACATCTCTCCAAAGAAGATATACAGATGGCCAATAGGCACATGAAAAGATGCTCATCATCACTGATCATCAGGGAAATGCAAATCAAAACTACACTAAGACATCACCTTACACCCATTAGAATGGCTATAATGACCGAGACAAAAAATAACAAATGTTGGAGAGGATGTGGAGAAAAGGGAAATCTCATACACTGCTGGTGGGAATACAAACTGGTACAGCCACCATGGAAGACAGTATTGAGATTTCTCAAAAAATTAATAATAGAAATACCATACAATCCAGCTATCCCACTACTGGGTATTTAACCAAAGAATCTGAAATCAGCAGTTCAAAAAAACTCATGCACCCCTATGTTCACTGCAGCATTATTCACAATAGCCAAGACATGGAAGCAACCCAAGTGCCCATTGACTGATGACTGGATAAAGATATGGTATCTATACACACACACAATGGAATACTACTCAGCCATAAAAAAAATGACAAAATCATCACATTCACAACAACATGGATGGACCTTGAGGGTATTATGTTAAGCGAAATAAGCCAGATAGAGAAAGACAAACTCTGTCTGATTCCACTTATATATGGAAGATAAACATGTGGACAAAGAGAAGAGATTAGTGGTTACCAGAGGGAAGGGGGCTGGTGGTGGGGGTGTGGGCACAAACGTTGAAGAGGCGCACCTATAAGATGACTGACAATAATGTACAACTGAAATTTCACAATGTTGTAAACTATCATAACCTCAATAAAAAAAAAATTTTAATCCTAGAACATGATTCATCCACCAGCGGATGGGCTATTAGAAGAGAGGCCAGTTAAAGGCTACTGTGAACTACAATGAGATATCACCTCACACACATCAGAATGGCTATTATTAAAGACAAGAAATAACAAGTGTTGGAGAGGTTGTGGAGAAAAGAGAACCCTCATACACTGCTGGTAGGAATACAAACTGGTGCAGCTACTATAGAAAACAGTACGGAGATTCCTTAAAAAATTAAAAAAGAATGGGGCTGGCCCCGCGGCTGACTGGTTAAGTTCGCGCGCTCCACTGCAGGTGGCCCAGTGTTTCGTTGGTTCGAATCCTGGGCATGGACATGGCACTGCTCATCAAACCACGCTGAGGCAGCGTCCCACATGCCACAACTAGAAGGACCCACAAGAAAGAATATACAACTGTGTACCGGGGGAGCTTTAGGGAGAAAAAGGAAAAAAATAAAATCTTTAAAAAAGAAAAAAATTAAAAAAGAATACCATATGATCTAGCTATTCCACTTCTGGGTATTTATCCAAAGAACATGAAATAAACAATTCAAAAAGATATATGCACCCCTATGTTCATTGTAGTATTATTCATAATAGCGAAGATGTGGAAGCCCACCAACTGATGAATGGATAAAGAAGATGTGGTATATATATATATATATATATATATACACACACAATAGAATATTAATCAGTCATTAAAAAAAAGACAAAATCCTCCCATTTGCAACAACATGGATAGACTCTGAGGGTATTATGCTAAGTGAAATAAGTCAGACAGAGAAGGACAAATACTGTATGATTTTACTCCTATGCGGAAGATAAACAAACATATAGATAAGGAGAACAGATTTGTGGTTACCAGAAGGGACGGGGCTTGGGGAAGGGCAAAAGGGGTAAAGGGGCTCATACGTATCGTGACAGATAGAAACTAGACTTTTGGTGGCGAACACAATGCAGTCTATACAGAAGCTGAAATATAATAATGTACACCTGAAATTTACACAATGTTATAAACCAATGTCACCTCAGTAAAATAATTTTAAAAAATAAAAATAAAAGCTACTCTGTGACAAGCAACGTTATAAAATTTGCATGAGTCCTCCTCTCCACCCCCCAAAAAGAAGGGAAAGACATTCACACAAAACATACCCATGTCTTTGTGACAAATGACCCAGCCAACGACTGATTTAAAATGTAAATCCACGAGTGCAAAGATTTTTATGTTTTGCTCACTGTTTTATCTCCAGGCCTAGAACAGTGGCTGGCTCATAGTGGGTGCTCAATAAACATTTTTTGGAAAAACTGAGGCCAGCCTCAAGCATCTATCTGACAAGTTCCCACACCAGTAAACAGCTTTAATATTTGCATTGATTTTCTCTAACAACCAGTCACTTCCATGGTTGTCATCTCTCCTACATGACCTTAGAATAGGTAGTACTACATTTGAATCATTAAAATCACCCAGAACTTTCAGTAAAGTAAGATTTCTTAAAGCATAGATGGTCATCTACCTTATAATGTACTTGTACATATATACTACATTATTTTATTTCTATAAAACCTGGAGAGATAGGTATTAGTGGTCCTTTTCAGATAAGAAGACTAAGGCCGGGGCCAGCCCTGTGGCCAAGAGGTTAAGTTCACGCGTTCCGCTGCAGGCGGCCCAGTGTTTCGTCGGTTCGAATCCTGGGCGCGGACATGGGACTGCTCATCAGGCCACACTGGGGCGGTGTCCCACGTGCCACAACTAGAAGGACCCAAAACTAAGATTATACAACTATGTACCAGGAGGCTTTGGGGAGAAAAAGGAAAAAAATAAAATCTTTGGAAAAAAAAAAAAAAAGACTAAGGCCAAGCTCAGAGAGCCTGGACTGAACTTCTGACTTCAGGTTCTGGGCCATCCTAATTCACAGCTCCTCATCTCCCTTTTCACCTTCATACTCCAACTTAAAAACAAATACAGTGTTGGAGGTATGGCAGGTACTCACTCAATAAATGCCTGTTGATGGGGAATTGGCGCATTGTACAGTAAATACTGTACTGTAAATACACTACTTTAGAGCCAGAAAGGTCTTTAGAAACCCACTATTTTCTCTAAATAAAGCTTTTTAGAAAAGAAAATTTTAAGCTACAGATCCCTTTTTTTCAAATAAAAACTTAAATGGAACCCCAATAGAGGAACTGCTCTGATTGAAACCCACATCCAGCTCAGCATCCCCACCATCCTGGGGCATCAAGTCTCTGAAGCACCTGCTCCAATCCCTAAAGGGAGAAACGGGCCTACAGAGGTCAAATGATTGCCAAAGGTCACACAGGGAGTCCAAGCCAGAGGAGAACCTCGTCTTCTGATTCCACAACCCATGACTTTCTGAACACCTAGCATGTGGATTTTTTCTTGTAGACCACACTAAAGGCAAAGCAAATTTACTAGCACATTCCTTAGCAACAGGGCTGCTTCAGTCCCTCATTCTGAAGGCTTACTGTACCTACCAAAATGAATTAGGTGTTGAGTAAGCTCAGTGATTAAAGGATTGATTCCTTTTTAGACAGTGAGACAGAAGTTGCTTTACCTTCAGGAACAAATGTGACGTAAGTTACCAGCACACACAAACCCAGGTGTGAAGAGGGTAACAAAGCAGAATCCCGTTACTGAGTAAAACCCAGTTATTGATGCCCAAGAACCAGTGTCTGCTTGATGACTGAAAGATAAATATATTGATAGCTAGGAAAGCTTCAGATATTTGTGTTCCTTCTCCAAGTACTAGGTGCTTTCAGATTACTTGATTTAATCCTTAAACAACTTCATGAGGCAAGTATAGATATTTCACAGATGGACATATAAGGCTCAGAGATGTTAAGTAATTTCCTTAGGGTCACACATCCAATCAGTGGCACTGCCAGGATTTAAACCTAAGACTCCTGAATTCCAGTGTAGAGCTCTTTTCACTAGATAACAGTGTATCTGGACCTCTTTAAACTCAACACAAAGAAGAAAAATAGTATCAAATTTTACAGAAAAAGAATTATACTGCTTATGGAAGATTTCTAGGCCAGCACTCTTTAAGAGCAACAGGAGACTCGAGGACCCATTTTTCCCTGTGCCTATACTGTGCTGTGTGACCTCGGCCACAGAGCAGGCAGAATGGGACTGAGAGCTGGGAACCACGACGCCTGGCTTCCTCTCCCAGTTCTGACACCGACTTCCCGTGTGACCTTGAGCAATTACGCCTTCAGACACAGGTAACCTCCCCGAGGAACCAAGGAACCGCAGAGCCGGTCGGAAACCCTTTTCAGCTCCGGCATGAGCTGTCAAGGAGAGCGAGAGCTCTTCAGGTCGCAGCATTCCCACCAACAAAGGGGGAAAGGCAGGCGCGGCGCCTCCCTCGCCGAGGGTCCCGGTGGTACCGCCCCGGTGGAAGGGGCCTCGCGTCCTCCGACGGGGAAACAGCCGCAAGGGCAGACTGGAAGGAGCTCCACGGGGCGCAACCATCTGCCCGGGGCGTGGCCCCGCGATTCCCTCATCTGGGAGAGCCTCAGCCCGTGAGGTCAGGAGCCAGGGGCCGAGCAGACCCCGGGGGAGGCCCGGGCCATGCCAGGGGGACGCTCCGCGCCAACAGCACGGGGGCAGGGCCGCAGCCTCGGGAGCGGCCGGGCCGGCGGGGCCGGGCCGACGGCTCCTGTGACCTTCCCGGGCTCAGCGTGAGGCGCGCGTTCCGGCCCGGGCGGATGCGGGCGGTGGCACCCGGGCTCGCCAGGAGCAGGCCCAGCGCCCCCCGCCTTGACCTTGACGCCGTCCCCGCCTCAGGCGGGGCCATCCGGCGCAGGGCTGCCCACACATCGCACGCGGGCCACCGGGTGAGGCGCACGGGCGACCGGGACAGACGCCCAAACGGTCCCTGGCGGCCGCGCGCCGCCGCTTCCCCATCCGGGCCCGCCCCAGCCCAGCACGCGGCCCGCCTGCCTGCCCCACGCCGGCCTGCCCGGCGCTCACCTTGGACATCCACGCGGGCCCGGCCATCGCGCCCCCTCCTCGGCACGGCCCCAGCGGCGGCAGGAGTGCGCAGATGCGCGGCGCGCGCCCGGAGCCCGCCCCCGCCGGGCCCCGCCCCAAGGCCCCGCCCCTAGGGCCCCGCCCCCGCGGGCACGCCTGAGGGATTCTCCGCGCTCGCTCCCCGCCCCAGCCCTGGGGGCCCACCGCCTCCGCCGGCCAATCGCCGGGCTAGTCTCGCGGTGTCGGACGCCGCCGAGCGCGGAGCAGCGACCTGGGAGCTGCCTGACCGTCATCTCCCGGAAGTCTCCTCTCGCTTTTCCTTCGTTCGTTGATTCACTGTTTAGATAAGAAGTTTGTTCCGCGCCTACTAGATGCCCGTCACTCTTCTAGATTTGGGGGATATGGCTTCTCCCACGGAGTCTACAGTCTCGTGGAGGCAGATAGATAATTTACTCATTCCACGGATTTTTACTTTAACAGCTTAATTGAGGTATAATTTATATACCATGAAATTCACTCACTGTAAGTTCAGTGATTTTTAGTAAATGTAAACAGTTGCACAGATCACCAGAATCCAGTTTTTGAACATACGGAAATGTTCCTGTGTGCGTTTGCCTTCAATCCCGTCTCCCATGCCAGGTCCCAGGCAGCTACTGATCTGCTTTCTCTCTTTAGAGCCCTACAAATATTTTTGAGCTACAACTAGATTCCAGACACTGTTCTAAGTGCTTGGACTTACAGTCCAGTAGGAAAGACAGACCTCAAGTATCACACAAAGACGTAATTTAAAACCTCGATGAGTGTCAAGAAGCAAAAGTGCACAGAGCTATGAGAAGGCAAAATCAGGAACCTGATTCAAATCTAACAGAGAGGCCAGAGCAGGCTTCCCTCAGGAAATAACACCCTTACTCACCTTCCTCTTTGTCCTCTGCTCAGCAACCACAATCCTGAAGTTCCACTGATCTCGGCCCCTAGCTGGGTGCCCTGGAGGTGGGGTGATTTAGACTAAGTCTCCCCTCACCCCAACATGGAAAGCGTTCTGTCCAGAGAGGAGCTACCCAGCCGCCCAGAGAGCTGATGAATTAGGTGGAGAAACGATGCCAAAGGTTTTCATGAGATAAGTAATAAACCTGCAGCAAAGTCTGTGGCCTTGTCAGGATAGAGGAATCCCATCAGCCTCTTCACCGTGGCCTTCTCATCAGGCCCTGGAGGCCCATCCTGAAGTGTTCTCCACAGTCCTCTTCACCTTCATCTCCCTCACCACCCCTGCCCTCATCCAGGCCTGACCATCTCATGCCCAGACTGTTGCAACAGCCCCCTCACCCACCAACCTCCCCCTTCCAGTTTCTCCCCACAGTCCTCTCCTTCAGGCACAGCTCTAACCAGGGTTCCACCCTGGCTTTAAAACCTCCTGGCTCTCCCTTGCATTCACCTCTCACCACTCTCTTTTCTCAGCCATATTTCCTGTTACTCCTTCCAGCCCTAAAGTCCTGGAGTGCCAGCCAAGTAGAATTCTGGCTAGCCCCCAAATGCTTCCCATATTTTCTCTGCCTTTGGTTATGCCATTCCTTCTGCCTGAATGCCTTCTTGCCCCATTTTCAACCTGTTGAAATTCCAGGCACTTTTGAAGACTCAGCTTAGATATTGGTTCCTTTGGGAAGCCCCCAAGACCTGCTCACGTGTCCCTTCTCCCTACTCAGAGCTCCCTGGCACCTGGTTCCCAGCTCTCCTGGGAACTTTATCATGTTATTTTCTGCTGTGTACTACTGAGAAGATCTTCCTCAAGCCCAGAGACTATCTTTTATGTCTTTGTTTCTGGAAGAGAGACTAGCACATCAAGAGTACTTGCTGCTCGGTGATTATAAAACAAAAGTTGAATGACTTTCTCCAATTTCCATTTAATCTTCATAATAACTCTATGAGGAAACTGAGAAACAGCTAGTAAGCAATGATGCCGGCATTATACTAGGAAGCCTCCTAATTACTAAGGCAGTTCTTCTAATTGCTAAGTTTCCTCTGAGGAGCCAACCAGTTCCACAAAGGCTTCCCAAGCACAGTCCCTATCAGGGCACTGTGAGGACAACGACGTGAGTAAGCTCCAGCCCTGCACTCTGAGTCCAGTGAGGGAGAGACAGAAGAAATCCAGACAGCGACAGGGGCTGTAAGGGCTGGAGGGAGGGGTTGATTAGGGAAGATTCCACTATGGAGATGGCATTTGAATCAGTCCTTGAAGAGGGAAAATGTCAGCAGCCTGAGTTGAGGCCATGAGAAGGGAACAGTGCCAGCAAAGACTTCCAGGCAGGAAAGTGTGGAACCCTCAGAAGCTCCGATTCTGGAGACTGAAAGGAACCTCACAAGTTTCACAGTCCAGCTCCCACAACAAGGGGCTCCGTGCCTCCTGAGCAGCTGGAGGGGTGTCAGAGAGACAGAAAGCTCCCTCGCTCTCAGCTGGGACCTGCTCCCTGAGTCAGCCCTTAGGCTCCAGAACTCCCAGTCACTACTCCTCACACATGTTCCAGAGTTCCTCCAACATGCAGGTCACTCTCCTCAGGACAAGCCCCTTTAGCCTGTCCCTTGAACTTTGTGGTGTCCAGAGATACGATCAGCAAGGTATGTTTGGACCAGATAATGGGAAAACATTGCAACTCAGGAGAAGGATCTAGGTGTGCCCTTATTTGTTACTACAGCAGTACCAAAACCAGGTGTGCTTCACTCTAAGAAAATTTTTTAATCAAGATGGCAATTTTTAAATTAATAAATCAGCTAAATAAAGTATACTTATTGACATACTAAATGCTTCTTTTTATTTTTTATGAAAGGAACACAAATTTATTTCAACAGAATTTCTGTATTTTCCTAAATATTAGGACTTTAGTAAATAAATGGGCAAAGGACCTGAACAATTAGTTCACAGCCAAAGAAACACGATAAAGAAACTTCAAAGATGTCCAACCTTGGGGCCAGCCCGGTCACCAAGTAGTTAAGTTCACTCACTCTGCTTCGGTAGCCCAGGGGGTCGCTAGTTCGGATCCTGGGTGTGGACATGGCACCACTCATCAAGCCATGCTGAGGCAGCATCCCACATGCCACAACTAGAAGGACCTACAACTAGAATATACAACTATTACTGGGGAGCTTTGGAGAGAAGAAGAAGAGGGAAGAAAAAAAGGTAAGATTGGCAACAGGTGTTAGCTCAGGTGCCAATCTTTAAAAAAAATAAATAGGGCCGGTCCAGTAGCACAGTGGTTAATTTCACGTTTCTCTTCACTGGCATGGGGTTTGCTGGTTTGGATCCCAGGTGGGGACATGGCACCACTTGGCAAAAGCCATGCTGTGGTAGGCGTCCCACATATAAAGTAGAGGAAGATGGGCAAGGATGTTAGCTCAGGGCCAGTCTTCCTCAGCAAAAAGAGGAAGATTGGCAGCAGATGTTAGCTCAGGACTAATCTTCCTAAAAAAAGTAAAATTAAATTAAATAAATAAAGCACACTTAAATAGACTTTAAAAAAAGTGTTTTTATAATAAAGTCCAACTTTAACTATAATCAAATGCATGCAAAAATTTTAAAAATTAGAAACTTTTTTACCCCTTTTTATTAGAAAGTATTAAAATGCTAGTGTCCTATACGATCTAATTTATGGTGAAATTGCTACACTCTAAGTTTTGGCTGGCCTTATACGTTGCCACAATCTTTTTGGAAAACGATTTAGCAATGCGTCTCAAGAGCTACTGTGTTCTTGCCCTTTCACCTAGTAAATCCATTCCTGAGAATTAATCCTTTCAAAAAAATCCACAAAGACAAAGCCATTAGCACAAAGATATTCATTATAAGATTATCTATAATTTTTTAAATTAAAACAAAACCAGTTTAGATGATTAACCGAAGAAATGGTTATGTAATTTAGGGAAAATGAATTGAATGGGACGCCACACAGCCCTCACAAGCAATCGTAATGAAAACTCTTTGTAAGTATAAGAAAAAAATATCAACATTTAAAATATCTCCTATGCTCTGCTCTCACTTCTTCCTGTATGTGAGCAAAAACTAGCAAGGAACCTGTGCCCTCACACAGTCTTCCTTTACTCAATAAAATCCAACTCCAGTCTTCCAGTTGCTCAGGCCAAAAGACTTGAAGGTCAGCTCTATTTTTCAAAATAAATCCAGAATTGGACTCTTCTCCTCACCTCCACCACTCCCACCCTGGTCCGAGCCAGAGTTATCTCCCGCTTGAACCGATGCAGTAGTCTCCAAACTGACCTCCCTGCTTCACCCTTGCCCACCACCCATTTCCTGCCCTCAGGATCCTGTTGAAAGCATAGGACAAATACCCCTCCTCTGCTCAAACAGCCAGTGAAACCCTAGCTCTCTCCAAGCAAAAGTCAACGCTCTGACAGGGGCCCATAAGGCCCTAAATAGTCTGGTCTTGCTACCGCCTCTCTTTCCTCATCTCCCACCATTGTCCCCTTCACCACTCTTTTCCAGGTACACCTGCCTCCTTGCTGTTTTTCGTTAGGTCACACTTCCTCCCACCTCAGGGCCTTTGCCCTTGCTGTTCCTAAAGCCTGGAATGCTCTTCCAAATGGCTTGCTCCCTCAGCCACTCCTCATCCCCCGCTCCCCACCCCTATCCCTGGCCGCCACCAATCTACTTCATGTCTCTATGTATTTGCCTACACTGGGCATGTCATATAAATGGAGTTATACAATTTGTGCTCTTTTGTGACTGGCTTCTTTCTCTTAGAAATTAAGTCATATT